GCTGGTGACAATCTAGCATCGGTTAGGGCGCAGTCTGATAGAGATTTTTGGTATTATCATTTTGTTATTACTTTAGTTCATATTCAGTCTAATGTTAATCAGTATTATTGTGATTTTTAGTTTAAAGTGTTCTCTTCCTTATGTGTGTATAAACTGACCTGGAGGTTACGACTGACTGTTTCATCTTCATGTGAGACAGTTAACTCTGTGTTTCCCAGACCTTAATTCTTATCAACCAGAATACCTCCTAACTGCCTGTGAGCAGTCGTATTTTGTCTCTTGTTTATCCTCCCTCTTTGTCGACAGAGCTGAACTGGGCTCAGATCGTAGATCAGATATCACACCTGGAACTGAGTTGCTGGTTTGTTTAGGTTAGAAGTTTTACGACCTCTGTTGTTTTTTTCTGGCTGTTCTGCTTTGACAATAAAACAGGGGCTCGCGTGGAAGGAGATCAGAACTCTCTGTGAACGGCCTGGAGAGGTCATGGCGGAGAGTTCTCCTTTTGCAAAAGCTTTGTCTATAAAATTCATATACGTTGTCTGTGGTCTTTTTATATAGGTTCGAGAAAAAGTACCTATCATTAATATCAGAAAATTTCTAGAAAATATAATTACTGAGTTTCAAATGATGAAAACTTTTGACTTTTTCTATAAAATTCACTTCCACTTTCAACTCTTCAAACTTAGACATTTACAAGTTTTTTTCTGGAAAATTTCTGAGATTAATTTAAAAACTTCTGAGTTTTTTGGTGTAAATTTACTCCTCCTTTTGTTTTCTTCTATCTTAATACACCGTCGTACTTCTCCAATTATGTACTTACACAAGCCAAAAAGTTACTTGTAAGTTAGTTTTGTCTGATTTCAAGTTTACAACGATATTTACACTAGAAATTAGACCAAAAATACTTGGTAAGACTTTGTGTTTTTGCAGTGCAGGCTTAAAAAACAAATCAAATCCAACTTCAGTGTGTAAGTTTGTATAAATAAACGGTGTCAGCTGCTCAATCTGCAATCCCCCAAAGTAATAACTCCGTCTAATGAGATGGCAAACCCACAAATAACGTAATGCAGCCACTGTGGGGTAATGTTATTCAATCAGCCGTGCATCGCTGCTCTGTCTGGTTGAACATAATCAAAGCTATAAGAGGTTTTATCCACATTAGAGACGAGCTGTGCTGTAAAGAGCTCGGTGTTGTGTGTTCGTGTGTGTATGTGGTCTGTTTGAGGCTGTGAAAAGTGTGTTTTGACTCTTGGCTATCATGCGATTTGGCTGATTCGGAGCTGAGAAGATGATTCGTCTGATGTGGCCTCTGAGGATGGGAAATGTGTCAAGAAGCAAGAAGATGGAAACAAGCAGAGGAGAGAAACGAGAACCAGCGAGACACTGGAAAATGTGTGCATACGGAGTGACACGCTGACGTCAGAAGAGGTTTTTAAGTGTGTTTTTCTTACAGATAGTTATTCCAATTAAATGCAATAAACTCTTGGGAGGGTTGCTGGTCGTCTTTAGTGTTTTCCAGCTCTGAATTATCCGTCTGGGTAAAATGATGGACCTCAAACTGCTTTGAAGTAAGCTCTAAATGTTGTAATGTAATTCTGTCCTTGGCATATCCTATGAGTCGACCAAATTTCTATGTCACATGTAATATTTCAGAGTTTGTAATGCACTCCAACAAGATTCCCTGAAACTTTTAGAAAAGAAACAGGCCTGTTTTATTACATATTCTTCACCATAATTAATGTTTTCAACATGTGACCAAAACAAATGGTTTCAGCTAAAATACCAGAACAGCTTAACTAATTTTACATGTTTATGTTTGTAATGGCAGAAAAGTTTGTTTATGGTTTTCCCACAAAAGAACTGATTGGCATAGCATATAATTATCAACATGCTTTGTTTGAGTGGTATGTTTTCATGTCTTTCCCATTTTGAAGATCAGAAAAGAGAAATTATCCATAACATCAATATTTAATCGACAACAAAACAGAAAGTCACTGATTATTAAATAAAGCATAAAATGACCCACTTAAGAAGTACTCAAATTAAAAGTTATATTTTTCTACATTAAACTGATTGAACTAAAAGATTTAATTAGTTTAAATGCTTTTTTTTTTAATATACAAAACTTTACTTTACCAATGGTGGCAATAAATAATGCTCGGATTTATTTTCAGTGTAATTTTCATTTAAAAGAAGCTATTTGAACTACAAAATGTGATGTTTAAATAAAACTACAACAAATTAGAGTTAAATTATGTCTTACAGTGCTGGAAAAGTATTGACTCATTTTCTTTTTGCTTTTATTTCTGACTTGGACTCTCATTAAGTAGATAGTTTCTCTCTTCTGCTTGTTTCACTGCTGTCCATGGCCGGTCCAAACCTTTTTGGGGCCCTAACAAGATTTTCATTTGGGGCCCCTCATCCCAAAATGTTGATGCGAGATGCTTTATAATTCCTAGGCTACTCTAAGTGCTATTATTAGTAGACCTGTCATAGTTATGAACTGAACAATAAATTAAAACGATATCGGTAATTTCCATTTGGATGATTTATTGTTTTTCTTTTTTCTCTCTTTCTACCAAAAACTGGACAATAAAAATCTTCAGTCTGGTGTTTTGGTCTCAACTTGCCTTTTTTTTTCTTTATAAAGACTTCATAATTCACTTTTTCTTGTTGTTTCTGTTGTTTTGTTTATTTATCTTCGATATTTAAAATGTCTTCTAGTTCCTGTGTTAAATGTTTATTAGAATTTAAAGTTTATTTACCTTTGAAAATTTGTTCTCCAACAAATTACCACTATAATACTTGACAATTATATCAAAACAACAATATTAACTTCTGGGACAATTTGTCCTCCAGCAAAATTTGTTATCGTGACAGGACTAATTATTATCATAATTAATATTTATGTTACATCATACCAGTGTTATTATGGCTCTTAATTTTTAACTTTATGAGTAGCAAACTAAAACAAATTATTTTGATTTCGAAACACAGAGTGGTGTTTAAGTGCTGTATTATTTCAGCTATATAATTTGTCAGTTTTGCTCTTGGGGGCCCCCCGGTGGTGTGAGGGACCCTAACATCAGACAGTGGAAGAAAAGTCTTTTTATTCTGTGTATTTTTTCTTCTTCTTTAGTCAGAGGCTTCTTCAAATTCACTGTTANACNGNCCTCTACAGGAGATCTTTCCTTTCCACAGCCATCACCACCTAATAACTGAATAGATTATTTTCCCAAAGTGTTTTAACTTGTTGGTTTACAAGATCTGTGAACAAGTCTGAGACATGATCACTTTCTCACATGGAGTCAAACTGGTATGTGATTTATTTTTATTTTCTAGAAAATAAAAAATAATACTTATTTTTATTTTCTAGAAAATAAAAATAAGTATTTATGTATTCAGATTGCTTTTGTTCTATATTTAAATGTTTTTTGATATCAAAAATAATTTAATTGGAACAAAAAAAGCAAAGGAATCTCCAGAAGAGCCACTGATCTCCACACAGAGAATCAAGAGACCATTTTATTGGATTTATTAAGATTCAGACACTCAAAACGGATCAGCCCATCACTAGTAATGCTGTTTTTACATCATTAAATTCATTGAGCTGCAAGAGAGACCACCAGTTAGATTAAATACGCTCTGCGCCCGCAGCCGAAAGGTTAGCAAATCCAATACAGTCCGTCATATAAAAACCCAAGGGCAGTTATCAATAATTAAAACATGATCAACACTATGCAATGCAATAAAAGAAGTTCTTTTCAAACACCACCATGGACCTTTTCTCTCTTTTTTTCTTTTGGAAAAGAAAGAAAAAAAATTAACTTAAAATAATAATAATAGAAAAAAAGAAAGTGACAAGACACCAGAGAGATTTTGTTAATAACACTACATTTATCTAAGAGACCATCACTGCCTAACATCTGACCAGCTTCTGTGGAAACGTGGAGCTTGAAGGAAACATAAGAGGGATTGGCAAAGTATTCAACTGTACAATTGTTCGGAGTCTCTAAATAAACTTCCAGGCGAGCTGAAATAAAGGAAGAAGACGGCATTGCACCCTGTGAAAACATTAGAGTATATCATTTCTCTTTTCTTTTTTTTATTTTCAACACAGACTTAGATTGATGGAGGTTGACTACTGGCCTCAATGGAAATTTAACACTTGAATTATTTTCTGCCATTAATGTGAGCTACAAGGTGAAGCTTCCTGATTTATGGTTTTTATTTTTTTAAACTTTGAGTTAAAGTTGGACAGTGCTTTACCCCGGATGTCCCAGAAGAAGACTTGGATCTCGGATGAAGATTTGTTCCTGGGAAGAGTTGCTGGATCCTTTCCTGACAACTCAACTGTTGCTCCAAACAGTCGGAGAAGTGGAGCAACTTCAAATGGGAACAATTAGATTTTTCTAGAATATACAAGAAAAAAACAGACTACTACAGTCAAACTGACCCTCTCACACATTCACAGGTTTCTCGCTTTCTCGTCTTTCTGAAAAGGGAAGTTAGTCTTTAAACTAAATAAGATAAAAATGTGTTTTGTTTTTTTCTTTAGGAGTTGTAGTGATACATGCATCCGTTATACTGATATACACTTCTTAAAAAAAGTTAAAAAACAAAAAAAAAACATCAACAAAAAACAAAACAAAAGGTATTAGAAATGCAGCTATACAGAGTCTTTTAGCTAATCCAGGAAGGTGAGGGTGAAGAGCGGGTCGCACATCTGGAAACCAAACGGGTCGGACGTTCCAGATGCTGCCGGGTGGAGCCGAGAGGAAGAGGAGGAAAAGGAGAAGGAGGAGGAGGAAGAGGAGCCGGGTTAGTTACTGCAGCAGGGGCGGCTGCTGGGCTGAGCCGACTCCGTCAGGTCCACGCCCCGGTTCCGCCCGCTGCTGGTCCCGGCGGCCTGCGGCTCGTTCTTCGGAAGTTTCTTGGCTGCGGAGACAATAATTAATCAATCAATCAATCAATCAATCAATCAAGTTTGTCTGTATGGCACAAATACAAATAAACAAGGCAGTTCAAAGAGCTTTATGTCACAAAACACAAAAATACAAAGAAAAAAAAAGACAAAAATAAAAATAATAAAATAAATGAAAAAAATCTAATAATTAATAAAAACTAAAATTAATAACCAAAATAAATAATCAAGAAAAATAAATAATAAAAATAAATAAATAAAAACAATTAGAATAACTAATAAAAATACCCAAAATTTAAAAAGTACTAAAATGCCACACATTAAACTTCGACTAGGCCACTGTAATACACTTCAGTTTCACTCATTATCAGCCACTCTGCTGTAATTTTTACCTTATGCTTATATTTGTCTTTTTTTATAATCGTCCTGTCATGAACTTTAACATTTAACAGACAACTTTTTATTTCTCCTTTTGTTTACTTTTGATGAATATAAAGTTAAGTTGAGATTTTGATATTTTAAGGACAAAAATCGTTGGAGTGTTTGCCTTTTTTCTATGTAACGCACATTTAAGCAAAAACAGACACTTCAAAGTGTTTTACATCAAACAGTCATGAGTTACAAAGAAAGCAACAAACATAATAAAAAATACTTATTTATTTTGAACATGATGCCAGTATAAAATCACACACAGAAAACACATATTTTTGTATCAAAATAATCTTAACAAGCTGGAAAAGCAGCAGGAAGAACATTTTGTCAAGTGCCGTCGTCACACATCAAACTGTTGCTCATCGTTTCATTTAATATGTTTCAACTCTAACCAGGTGGGTTTGCAGTCTAGATTTAAAGGAAGTCAGCGTTTCAGCTGCTCTGCAGTTTTCTGGAAGGTTGTTCCAGATTTGTGGCGCGTAGAAGCTGAGCGCTGCCATAAAACGGCCCAGTCTTCATTTGATTTCAGAGTTTTTATAACGGAGCTTGTAAAGCGGCTTTATAACGCCGAGCCTCGGCCAAGTCCTTAAAGCTGGACAAACAAAAGTTACTCAGTTTGCCTTAAAGGGATGTGTTAAAAATCTGAGGTAAAGCTGAGCACAGCCAAGGGGATAAAGTTAGTACACCCTTTGCTGCGTCTGCAGGGTGTAGGAGAAAAGATCGATCATCATCAGTTGCACATGATCGATTGATCATCATCAGTCTGAGCAACTCTACTAAAAAAGAAGAGTTTTCAATTTAAAAAGATAAATGCATTCTAGCAAGAAGATGTTTGAACACTTAGGACAATGGCAGATTTAGGTAGAAATTAGTTACATCTATGTGAGTAACTTTTTTTTTAAATTTTAGGAGTATTTTTACTACTCTGTACTTTTTATTTTCACTTGAGTAATTTTATTATGAAGTATTTTTACTCCTATGTGAGTAAAATGTCTGGATTTTCTACCCACTGACTAAAAAATAAACAAGTTTTAACCAAAAATTCTCCAGACTCAGACACACCTGCAGTTTTTGTTAAATTTTAATAAGTTTTTTATTGAAAGAAACTGATTTGGAAAAATTTATTTTACCTGATTTTGTTATTTTTTGTCATTTTGGTCCCTAAAATACCAAATTTCCGCTTAACTTGTTAAGTGTTAAAGTTTATGACATGGTAATTATAAAATGAAAACAAAACAAATCTAAGCTAAAAGTAAAAATCTACAGCAGAATGGATAACAATTAAAACTGTAGTGTACTGTAGTGGCCTAGACAAAGTCCATCTTGAATGACATGCACAGACAATAAATCAGTAAACTGTTTTCCTTGATAAACACTTGCAGTGGTGTATGGTGTTTTTTATTACTGTGTATTTAAGTGTTTTATAACATAAAGCACTTTGTGATATACAAATAAACTTGATTGATTGATTTCAATGGAACTAAAAGAATCAACAGAGGAAAGATTAAACCAGTTTAAATAACATTTAAAGTTGAACAAACTCTGAACTGCTTTTATCAGGTTATTATTCAGATTATCTGTCAAAAATACATGAAAAGATAAAAACACAACATAATCATCATTACAGCCTAAAGAGTAAAACAAAAGCTGAAAGCAAAAACTAATTCCAAATCCTACATTTAATTACTATGCAATAGCAACATAATAAAAATTGTTCTGGTAAATATTCTCCTTGATCAGACTGAGTTAAAATAGTTGCTTCAGTTCAAAACTATAAGATTGAATTTTTTTTTTAGCAAAACTGGTGAACGATCTTTATAAATGTTGATAGTTTTGACAGAGAAATGAATATAAAGACACTGGACTAATTTCAGATTTATTTTTCTCATTATTTACGGCATTGCAGAGCAGAGTTTAAGGAAGAGGTTATAAGCTCAACAGCGCCATCTAGTGGCCACAATGTGAATTAAACTGTCTACACCTGGAATTTGTTTAAGGAGTAAATTGTAGCTTTTCCTGGGTTTCACTTCCCCACATCTCAGATATTTTCTCCTTCTCAAAAAGTAGCACGTGTTTACAAGTAATTGAAAAACAAAAATAGATAAAACAAAAAACTACTGACAACCATCAAAGAGTAAACACTTGAATAGATTTAAATAATTACCAAATTTGGGAGCATCCCGTCTTTTCCTCTGAATCAGTGACAGATTTTTACAATAATTCAAATCGCCTGAATTAAAAATATCCCTCATGTTCATGCGGGGTCACATGTTTCAGAAAAATAAAGATTAGACTTCATCTGTTTACTACAAAAATGACCCAAAGTTTAAGATTTATTTCAATTAAATCACACAGAAGATCTGTGATTAATGATAAATACACCAATTATATTAATTAATTTACAGGAGCGTCATGAATTCATTCATTCACAAACACGGTTTTATCAGCTCTAATTTAAGACTTTTCAAGACAAATAAGAATGAAATTTAAGACTTATCACAGCAGAAATCCACATTATCACATATTTTATATTATCTATCTATCCATCCATCTATCCATTTATCTATAAATATATATGAATATGAGACTTTTAAAGGATGTGCTTATTCTTTTCACTATATCAAAACAAAAACCAAATGTAATTTATTACACAGATTTACTACACTAAGTGCTTTTATTTATTTTTTAAGATTATGGCTTGCAGCAGATTAAAACCTAATGTTCTTTTAGAATTAAGACTACAAAAGTACAATAAACATTTATTTTTGATCATATTTAATCATATTTTCTAATTATCTGATATTTATTGAGTCTCTTGTGGGAAAAAACAGTGGAGAAAAGAGTAAAAATAACATTTTAATTAGCAACATGAACTGGAATTCATTGTGACGAAGATCAATTAAAAATCACAACATGACAAGAAACTGAGGAGGGGATTCTTACCGATGGCCATGAAAATCTCGTTCACGTTCATGGAGGTTTTTGCTGAAGTTTCCATGAAGAGCAAACTGTTGTCATCTGCGTATGACTGTGCATCCTGCAAAAGATCGTCACCAATTACAGAAAATAAACTGTTAAAATGATAGGAAGCTGATGTTTTTATCTTGTAAAAAGGACAAATGAAGTCATTAAAGTCGTAACCTGGAAGTCCAGAGCTCTCTTGCTAGCGAGGTCGGCCTTGTTCCCAGCCAGGGCTATTACAATGTTTGGACTGGCTTGTCTCTGAAGTTCTTTGACCCAGTTCTTCGCTCGTACAAATGACTCCTGGAAAACAGAGCACAGAGGGGTAAGGGTCGCCTTAGGAAAATAACAACCAAGCCCAAACGAACAGGGCCAGAAGAACTATTTATCAAACTGATCCCACAAACTGAAACATCGCAAGAGTCAGAAAGTTTTGGTGGAAGAACAGTAATGAAAGTGAGCAGACAAAATGGTGGTTGTTAGTTCTAAACTTAGAAATCTCAAACAAGCGCAGTGGAATCATGACATAAAAGTCTGGGAGAACAAAACTGCTTTTAAATGGTTTTAATCAACAAAACAAAGCTGCAGTCAGAGGAGCCACAAGCTGGAAGGCCTCGTCCCTCTCCGGGTTTATTAAGTGTTTCCAGCCACATTTTATAGCACAATCAAGTAACTACAGTAACTTCAATTGTTACAAAAATGCTGTATAATTTTTTTAATTTGTAATTTAATGCCCCTGTCCCTTTTAAAACTCCTATTCTTTCTGAAAGGAAGTCATCACAACATGGCTCCTCTATTAACCCTTTAAAACGTTTTTAGCAGCGTTTTACTGAGAAGCAGCTCCTACAACGAGCTCAGCAGATGAACAGTTTCACCAGGTGTCTGTTAATTGCTCCTGGCTAGTCTGAAGGAGCCGATTAAGGCTTCGAAACTTGGAAACTTCCGCTGTGGGGAGGAGCTTTGTCCTCAAAGGCGGGGCTAGGTCCACCCAGAGGTTTTGCACGGCTGAATGGTTGCCATGGAGATTCAGGGATTTCTAAAACATTCATGAAAGAGTCAAAGCAACATTCCAGGTATGTTTTTGATGAGGGGAAAACATTACAACATGATGTAAAGCTTAAAAAAAGTTGATTTTAGATAATACTTCCCCTTTAACAGAGTACCTGGAAGAACGTGTGGCAGCAGAGCGTTTGGTGAAAAACTGACATAAATAATGGAACCAGGCCATTCGTAGCTCTGTAGACGAGAACAAGAACTATAAATAAAGACTCTGAAATCCATATGAAGTTGGTGTAGAGAGCATAAGATCGAGGTGGTACGAGTAAATTTAGTAGATTTACTGAAAAGTCTAATTGCAGTTTTCTGGGTGCACTGTAAAACATTTGAAGGTGACTTAACTTGAAAATAAAAGTCCACCTGCTGCAATTTAATCAACAAGGAAATTGGTTTGGTTTAAACTCAGAAATTAAAGTTCATGAAGTCGATTTAACAACAAGAGACAAGATGTCTAAACATCATTTAACTTCATTAATCTTGAATTGGGAGTTTTAACTTAATGCTGCAATTTAGACCAAATAATTATTTCACAATATGCAAGAAAAATAAAACTGCCCTGACCGAGCTTGTTTCAAAACGTCTTTCAGTGTGGAGTTAAGATGTGTTTGGATTTCTCCTCGTGTCGCGGCTCTGAGTCAGGCAGAAAACCCAAAGGCGCTGTGAGGAGGATGTTTGGCTCTGTAATCAAGGCGGTGTTGTTGGGAGGAAGAGGTCTTCCTCAGAGGTTTTCCTTGGAAGCAACCGATAGATAACCTCAGGAAACTTCACTGTTAGCACCACAAACCATTTTCCAGATGCTCTAAACCAGAGGTTCCCAAACCGTAGGGCGCGCCCCCTAAGGGGGGCGCCGTGTCATTGCAGGGGGGGGGGCGCAGGAAGCCGTCTGGATGAAAAAACAAAACAAAACATGAACACTGTATGCGCTGGGTTTTTACCTTAGAATGGCCAACTCTCTGTTATTCCTGTCAGTTTGATACAGTAGAGGCTTCCACACTTCCCATATTTGTGTCTTTTATCAGCAGTTAAAACTGTTTAATCCCTTGTTAACATGTTGTAACCTGTTTTTCCGAGCCGCCTTTAACATGAGCGCTACGACGCTCGCGCTGGGTTTCCACCTGTGAAGGAGACCTGCTGCTGCTGGGCGGAGCTACGTAGGTTTGTGTTAGAATCACGGCAGCAAACCAGCAAAACGCAAAGAACTTTTCACAGTTTTTCCCTCCAAACTAACCGACTGAGGTGAGTAAAGCTGCAGGTAATGTTAGCTAAAAGATGACTAGCTAATATCAATACAGAACCTTTAGCTTAACAAGTACCTTGTAGGCTACCGATGTCTATTTTCAGCTACGTACATTCATTTTGCCCCCAAAAAAGTCGATGCTCCCCCCCCATTACACGCGTCGTTTCAACCAGACAGCCATTTGTAATCCATAGAGGGGGCGCAGAAAATGTTTGGAAACCACTGGGGGGGCGCAGAAGAAAAAGTTTGGGAACTACTGCTTAAAACAATCAAAACGAGAGTTCACTGGAGAAAAGAAATCCGCTGCTATTTTTAATTACTTACATCTCAATTTAAAACTGTTCTTTCAGTAGCAGTTTTAATATGAGCTGATGATAAATCCTCATGCACAGTGGAGGAATCGCTGCTAACACATAAAGGAAATTATTACCAGCTCATCTGGCCTCGTTTACAGTCAGCGAGCATCTAATTACTGCATCTGTCATGATAGCAAATGTTTCTGGATGTTAATATTGTTGTTTTGAGACTGTTTTCAAATAATATAATGGTAATAATAAATATCAAGAAACCTTAAATTCTAATGAATATTTCACACTGGAACTGGAAGACATTTTAAATATCCAAAATAAATAAACAAAACAACAATAAAATGAATTATGAAGTTTCTGTAAACAAAACTGTCCTTCAAAAAAAGGGGCTGGTCGAGACCAAAACAAAAGACTGAAGAGTTTTATCATCCAGTTTTTGATAGAAAGAGGAAAATAATAAATCATGCAAATGGAAATCGTTGAACTGATTTTAATTCATCATGTGATTAATTGATTTATTCCTTATTGCTTAAAGTTGCAATCATAGAGTGATTTTAGTTGGACTATTTTCACAGTTTTACTTATGCCAATTAGGATGATATAATTAAATTAAATTAGCTCCAATTTAAGCAAATATAAAAACTTGGGCTGTTAACAGCTGATCACCGATCTTTCAAAGGCCTGACCTGCCGATTCCAACTTTGGCCAATATCATTTTTTCCCCCTGAAAAGTCGTTAAATATAGCAACAAAGTTGCTAAAATAACAAGACAGTTAATATCGGTTTCAGATCAGCCAATAGCCGGTCGCCCAAAAGTAAAGACACTGGGAACGATTCATTGCTGCACTCCAAATTAAAATGTTTCTTTTATTAAAAAACCTTTTTCAACTAATAAAAGGTTTTTAAATTAATTGCCACAATAATTGAGGCTATAACTTTGCAAAACAACATATTCGTCACTTCCAAAACCTCTGGACAGTTAATTCTGCCCCCCAAAAGAAAGCAAAACTTAACAAGAGCATTATCAGAATCAGTACTACAGCTAAGATAACTAACAGATATGAAACTGTCAGGCAGATGGTACTGACCCAGAACGACCCAGACGCTGCTGCTCATGTCCTCTAAAACAAGGACAGTAGAGAACATCATCGTTCTAAAGTCCACTGGCACCAAGTGGCTCAGAGATCAGACTTTAAAATATTCATGTCAGTTTGGTTTAGAATCCAAAATACATTAAAGGTCTTTAGTCGAACCAGAACCAAAAGATATAGAAGAAGAAGAATTCAGTTCTCTCATCTGGAACAAACTTCCAGAAAACTGCAAAAACGCTGAAACACTGAGTTAATTTAATTTGAGGCTAAAAACCTGTTTGGATAAAAAAAAAACTGCTCTGGATTTCATCACTACTCTTTATTCTGCTGCTATAATAAAATGCTTCTTCTTTGTTTTGTTTAATTGTGTTATGTTTTTATCATTTGGACTCTTGATGCTAAAATGTGCCATGCAACCAAACTTGACTTATCAAAAACATAAAATCTTACCAACTATTTTTGGATATATTAGTTTCTATTGCTAATATTTTACTACTCTTAAATAAGACAACATTAACTGATAAGTAGCTTTGCAAAAAGATATAGGAACTAAATCTTTAATATTGTTAAAATAATACTAGTTCCACTTGTAGATTATTTCACTTATAACAAGACATTTTTCCCAAGTTATAAATGTAATAATCTGCCACTTGAAAAAGCACTTTTTTTCATCAATATTAAGGAATTACTGACATAAAACAAGCTCCAATATCCTATATTGGATGTGACGATATCTTGTAAGTTATCTTTGTCTTACTTCAAGTTTACTAAGACATTTTCATTATAAACCAGACCAAAAACAGTTTGTGTTTTTGCAGTGTAAAATAAATCACACTGAGAGTAAAGGTGTTTACTTTCAATGATTAAACTACATGGAGTGTTTTCAAAGCCTCCTGCAGATAAGAAAGTCCTGCTATTGAACATCCAGACATTAATCTTTCAGATATCAGTGAGTCAAGTGTACAAAGTCTGTCAACACAGTGATGCTCAGTGGTGACTCATCTCTCAGTGCTTAAAAATAAGCTTCTGAATGCTGCTAAAAAAAAACATATAACGAAAATGGAAACCCCCACCACGCCCATTTCCTCATATGCCACAGCATTTCTGTGCAAGCTAGCAAAGATTAGCAACAGGTAGCAGCAGCAGCAGCAAAAAGACGACAGAGAGAAGCCTGGCTCACCTCATTTGTGATATCATAGACCACAATGGCTGCCTGGGCGCCTCTGTAGTACATAGGAGCCAGACTGTGGTAGCGCTCCTGACCAGCTGTGTCCCAGATTTCAAATTTGACTGTTGTGTCGTCCAAACATACTGTCTGAGTCAGGAAGGCAGCTGCAGGGAAACAAAGCAGATAAAGCACCCTGAGTCACACAGAGGGTTTCAGTGAAAGTAGCACGAGCCAGCGCTGCTCGCCTCCCCGTGTTTACACCGACTTGGAAGCTCCAGGATTTGATAAACCAACTTCTGCGAAAGGATTTCCTGACACAAAGGCTGTGGCATTTTAGGAATGCAACGATTGCATTTTTCTGACCGATTGCTGATTCTAATTTTGGCTGATGCCAATTATTTTAGCCTGAAATGTCGCTAAATATGGCAAGAAAGTGAGTTTGTAGCACAGGGGTGACCATAGTTGACTCCAAACGTGCGGACATGACTTGATGGGCTGGTCTGCCAGTCAAACCTCTGCAGAGCAGAAGAGGACACACAATCTTACAAAGTAATTTTGGTCCAGTTTCCTGTGCAAATAACTTAGTAAACTTGAAATAAAAGAAAACTAACTTACAAATGTTTTAAGTAAATAATTCCTTAATATTGATGAAAACTTTCTAGTTCCACTGGCAGATTATTTCACTTATAACAAAACATTTTTCCCACATTGTAAGTGAAAAAAAATCAAAATTACTTGGTAAGATTTTGTGCTTTTGCAGTCCACTGGCTGATCACCGATTTCCAGAAAATCAGCTCAAATAAATCAGTCGGCTTGTTTTGTATTATCATGCAGTGAGATTCAGACCTACTTACTCCTGAAACCCTTCTCATCTGGACTAAAGCAGAATTTTCAATTGCATCCCACAATTTCCAGGAAGAGGTTAAAGGTTACACTTCGACAGACAACACACAGCTTCCACCTGACAAAAAGATACCTGAAACTATGAGCGAACGTCTAGGAATTCACCTCAGTATTTCTGCGGCTCTTGGTTCCTCACAGATTTCTAAACACGAGTTAAACTTTAAGTACAAACATCTTTATGTTTCAGAACCAGGAAATCTAAAAATATTCAAAGTATACCTTTATCATGTTTGGCATTTCCATTTTGAAAGCAGATAAGTAATTTGAGAACATTTGAGAATAAAGTTGCTTACTTTTCTCCAGAAGATCACAGAATGTTTAATTTTCTTCATAAAAGACTTTTTAATGAATGTGAAAATGTTTATTAGTGACAAATCAAGGAATTTTCATTGATGAAAGAAATGTTTGTGAGCTTTGGAAGTAAAACCTGTTAGACAAACCATAAAAGCCCCAGCTTCTCTGTTAGAAACACTTTGACACAGCAAGTCGTGCTAGGCGAAGGAGGTGCTAGGTGTTGTTTGTGATCATAAAGTTTAGTAGGTAAGAAATTGTTTTCTTTTTACTTTTTATGTATCCTCTGTCAGAACATTTGCTTATAAATTTAAAAAAATGAATTGATAACTGGTCACTCTATGTAATCCATATTTACCCTTGATAATTAGCTTGAGCTGCAACTGTTTTGCTTTTTAAAATGTCTGGACCAGTGCAGCTGTAGTGTGACTCTATGTAAGCAATTTTATGTCCCTTCCTTCTGTCTGTGCTGATCAGAGTAACGATACCGGTAAGAACAAGAGAAGAAAATACATCTACATGAATGCTACCAGAATTTTAGTATTACATTTTCCACTGTGGTAAAACATATGCAGACGGGACAAGCAACCGTGTGCTTTTAAGTCTCTACACACACAGGGTGCCAGTTTATTTGGTTTACAAGCTTCTGTCCTCTTCCTGACTTCTTCCTTTCTTTTTGCAGACTTTGCCATCTCGACTTTTGACTTGGATGCACATTGTGTTGTTCGCCGATGTTTGACTTGAATGTTTCAAATGTACCATCACTTTTTTCCTCCAAGTTTCACTGCCTTGTGCTCGCTTATTTTCTTTGATGTTTTTATTTTTTCTTACATAGAAGAAAAAAAAAGTGTGAACAAAACCAAAAAGGAAAACTTGGAAAAATGAAGAATTATGCTGTGAATATTTATGTGTGTAAGCTATATTTAGAAGGCTTAATAACAAGGTATTTCTACTTCTGTATTTGACGTATAGTAATATTGTTCCTCAGTTAATGTCAGATAAATTGCCAGATTTGTGATTTATAACTGGGAAGTGAGACTCTTCTGACAGCTGTTTGTTATTAATCTTATTTAATATCCACTGCATCACCGATTCCCATGTGAAAAGCAGTGAAGTCGTCATCATACGTACCTCCGATTGTGCTCTCTTGGAATTCGTGAAACTGGCCCTTGACAAATCGAAGTACGAGACTCGACTTTCCCACCGCTGACTCTCCTAGAAGCACGAGTTTGAACTGGCAGATCTTGTTGCCGGCGTTAGGTCCATTGGGTCGCGTGGCTCCACCTCTACTTGCCATGTCACTCTGTGTGGTCTCTTCCCCTGAGCGCTGATGTGGTGGCAAGAACCTTTAATAACACCTAAACGACAGAGAGAGGAAGAAAGAAAAAAATTGATAAATCAAGTTGTAAAAAACCTTTTTTCTACTTAGGCTGCTTCTTGTCACATTGTTTCTCAAATGTTCGGATTTAGAATATCGCAGTCTCTGTTTTCTTGTTTTCAACTTCACAACTCCAGCAGCTTTCAGTCCTGTCACAATCACAACGTTTGCTGGACGATAAATTGTCCCTTAAGTTATTGTGATGAACAATAATATTGTAGATTTGAGACTATTTTCAAGTAATATAATGGTAAAAATGGCATAGTAATGCAATCAATAAACTTTAAATTCTAATGAACATTTAACACTAGAAGACAGTTTAATTATCAAAAATAAATAAACAAAACAACAGAAACAACAAATAAAATGAATTATGAAGTCTGCAAACAAAATTGTTCTTAAACAAACAAAAGATTAGTTGAGACGAATTAACCAGACTGAAGACTTTTCATGTGGTTTTTGGTAAAAAGAGAGACAAGAGAAAAACGATAAATCATCCTAATTTACCAGGTGATTTATTGATTTATTGCGACAAGCCAGGCAGCTTTACACACAGCGTCTCAACAGTCCATTCACTTGATTCCTGTTGTTTATTTTTAAATTAAACATTTTCATACCTGTCCATAACATAAAGGGCACTGACTCTTAGATCAAAAACAAGAGAGGCATTGTATTTTACTGTAGCTGCTTGTTCCCTTTGACATTATATTACCGACATCTGACACTTTCAAAACCTGCTTAAAATTCATTTTGTCTTTTTCATTAAAACCAAACTTCTTTTTTTTTCTTTTTGTTTTTTTGTAAAGTGCCACAATATATTTATTGTGAACTGTCGTTAAATGAATTAACTGAATTTTACAGACTGGATTTCTGCTGAAGCAGCAACACCAACAACTAATATGTTGGCCTCAAATCCTGCAGCTGTGAAAAACTCCAGCAATGCCTTTGAGAGGATTAGCGGACAAGTTTGGACAACACATTAGGGAAAACCTTCTTAGGTTAGGTAAGAAAAGGTTTGATACTATGAGCTGCAGTTTTGTTCAGTGGGTTTGTGATTTTAAAACCTGGCAAGGACATTTTCTCAGTTAAATAAATTCTGGACCAAAACCACAGCACATGGAAATACAGCTATCATTACAATAATTTTATGTTTTATTGTGTATTGTATGTGGTTTATACAGTAGCAGTGCTGTCTTAACTAGGTGTCTATTTGTAAAGAAGATGACTGATTTAAATGAGATTCAGCGATTAAATTAAATTAAAATACAACAAAATTAAACAAAAATAACTGCAATAATAATAATCAATAATAATCTAATAATTCTGTGGGTGAAACATTTACTGTATTTCCAGTCCATGCGCTGGACAGAAATCATAATTTTACCAAACAGATGAACTCTAAGTGCAAACACACTATTTAGTTGATTGTATTGCTCATATATGATGATGGGAATATGTTGGTAATAGAGCAGAATATAAAAATAGTTTCAGACTCTGGGAAAATTTAAATCTTACTTAATATCAAAAATGAATTTCTGGATACAGACGTTATACGTTATCATTAGGAAGACTCCGGACTTGATAGTTGCACAAGTGACATTAATGAAAAGGTAATTGCTGAAAAACCTGGCTATTCACTAGAAAGTTCTGTGGGAGGAAAAACACACCCTTGAATGTTTTGTGTAGTAAAGTCCTTTCAAGGTTTTGGGGGGATTCACCAGGTGTGAAGCTGTTGAATGGATCCAGAAAAATTCATACAACTGTCACATTTGGTGCTTAAAGTGATTCCTCAGCTTTCAAATTCATCTAACCTGGGTTAAGAAGGAGAATACACAAACTGTTGCTCAATCTCAGAGTTACTTTTCAGATGAAAAAATATTTAGCATTTTATTTGGAAACAAAAAGAGTCAGTGCCTGGAGAGAGAGTGGGGAGGCACTGAAAGTGTAAAGTTTTCTGTAATAATTTTGGGAGCAGTATCATGCGCTACTGTTTGTCCAACACGTTTTTATCAAAATCAAAGTCAGCACATCAGTCCACCAAGGAACTTTAGAGCACATCCCGTTTCAGTCTGCTGAATTTCATTTTCCAGGATCACTTGGCACCTGCTCGTGCTGCTAAATGTACCAATACGTCTTTGGTTGGCTAGCAAACTCCCTGATCAAGTAAAAGATAAGAGAGCTGGCATTAATGCAGTAATTCATGCAAAAGGATCCCTGGCCAAGTGTTCAACACATATATACTGATCATATTCTTTCAGAAGACATTTCTCTATTTAAAGGAGTTATTCAATTTTTGTTGTGTATTACTGATTTTTATTTCATTTGCTGTAAGCCACAATCATCAAAATTAACAGAATGGAATGGTTAAAACTAATGTCTACTGTTATCCATTTTAATTAAATGTTGTTTGCTTTCTCTTTCCCGATTATTGACTCACGTTCTCGAAGCTATTTACCTTTTACATATTTGACAATTATGCTAACATAGTCAGGAAAAGTTGTCATGACTGAGGATGCGTCGTTTAAAGACTGAGATTTTAACCGCTCTAATATGTAACAATAACAAACTACCTCTGACAGTCATACAGCTCTCCTTCCCACTCTAATTATCAACAACTTCCCCGAAATCGCGTTACGACATCGGGATAACCACATATCACCTGTCATTAGCTTCAATTAGCAAACAGCTAGCGTTAGCAACACAGCTAATTCATATGCTGATCCTGTCAAGCTCCCGATCAACTAACAGTGACACCTGATTGACTCAGTGAAAAATAAATTAAATCGCAGTTAGTATTGTGCATTATGGATTTACACACTTACGTAACGTTTGAGAATGTCAGAACTCAGATGATGATGCAGGTTTGGGTGTGTACAGCTAATGCAAGCTGGCTAACGTTGTCCGAAAAAGGGTAAAAGTAGTCAAACTTCTTCATCAGTCAGTGATTTCAATCTGCATTTCTGTTGTATTAAAAGTGAATAACGCTGCTAGTGTTGATCCACCCGAGTGAGCAGCCTTATTTACACTGCTAGCTAGCACGGCCCTAGTGTTGGCTAGCTGGGTGAATGTTGTTTAGCTGCGGCCGCTTCGGGAGGAGCCCTCCAGTGTTAGCATTTAGGTCGCTAATATTAGCCACTCACCAAAAAGAAAAGAAGGGCAGCCTGGATAATAGGGGTGTTGTCTCCGGCCCGATTTATCCTTAGCACTTCAGAGTCTCTTCACAGTGTGTCGACTATCCGGACAGGAACTGAATCGGTAGATTTCGTAAGGCTCCGCGGTGTCCCTCTCCCACTTCTTTCAACTTCCCTTTTCGCATTGTACGAAGGATGATGACAGATCGTATGACTACAACTGACAATCCGCCTGCGTGTCAGCGGCCCGGACCAATCAAATGTTTACATTTATCCAAATTTTAAATAGAATTATTAATTCCAGCAACAAAAACCACAAAAAATGAGAGTTAATAATAACAAATAACAACTACAGATAGATCAAGTGGAACATTTTTTGGGTAGGGGAAACATTTTGTAGCGACTTCAGTTTACATGGTAACTGACGTTGCTAGGCAACAGAACTTGAAACCGTTCGGGGATAAATTCTTGAGCTAAAACGTTTCGGTTTTGCTTAACGCGGCTATTAAGAAACCGGGCTGAAGAAACCGGTAAGATGGATTTAACAGAAGAAAACAACTCAGACCAACTAATATATGAACTGATCCACCAAAACACATCCAGGGTAAGCCAAGCTTTATGAATTATTTAAAATAATGATAATTCTAATCTGTGGCACTGGTGAGGTTTATTTAATTCAATTTAAAAAGTTATTTATTAATCCCAAAGGGGAATTAATTATTGCTGTATTGTCACAATAACAAATGAATCAATTAATCGCATGATAAACTAAAACAAACTCAATAATTTCCATTTGTTTATAGATACTCTATTATTCATTTTATTTGTTATTTCTGTTGTTTTCTTTATTTATTCTGGATATTTAAAACGTCTTCCAGTTCTGGTGTTAAATTTTCATTATAATTTAAAGTTTACTTATCTCTGAGAATGTCTTCTTGCATTATTATGCCATTACCGTTATGAAAACAATATCAAAACAACAGTATTATAATGTATCACAATAACGTCTTTAAATAACTTATTGTCCAGCAAAATTTGCTATCATGATAGGCCTATACTAACTCATAATACCCAAGTTTTTTCCAAAAGTAGTTGTACATGCAGCAGGCTGTGGACAGGAAGGATCTCCGGTAGCAGTCAGTATTACAGCACATCTGATGAAACCTCTGACTTCTGATACTCTATTGTTGAAAAAGAGGACGCTTTATAATTTCATTTATTTGTGTACGTTGTGGGCTGTTGTGTTTCCCATCTTCTTTTTGTTTACACTCTATTGATTCTCTCTATGGGTTCTGAGAACAGTTTGCTGAACGTAAAATGCTTATAACATAAATTATCTGTACTTAAAATACATTTTTATTTATTTCATGAAATATTAAAATTTCCAGACAAACTGCAGTTTGGTTTTTCATCGACTGTAAGCCATAATATTCAAAATTAACAGAAAGAAACCTTTTTAATATAGGACTCTGTGTATGAGGAATCCATATTGTATTATGTGTTTTATTTTTTTAACTGAATTACTGAAATAAAGTAAGTGATAGTATTCTAATTTACTGAGATGCACCTGTACTTATTTATTTGTTTGTTTGTTTTAGTTTCCACCTAGGAAACTAAAACCCATTGAACAAACCACAAAGGGCTGTCTACAAGAGATTTCATATGTAAGTTTGGATTTTTTAAAAATACTGAGGTTAAGCTCTGTGAGTCAGTTTGTGTGCCTGTGTGTGTGTTTATTTAGTTTTATTTCAGCTTAATTCAACATCAGTTTCCTGCAATTTTATCTACATACTCCCACTAGTTCAGATTTTAACAAATAATAAGATTAGCTATGCGGCTGATATGCTACCAAGTGACTCTGAACCCATTCAAATATTCAACAAATTAATGTGTGGATGTGTCATAACTCGCTTCAGCTGAACAGAANCAAAAATAAGGTAATTATCTTTGGAAACTAAAGAGTCAAAAGTCATCGCACATCTTTAGCTCTTACAGCTAGAAACTACTGATCAGCGCCAAACTCTGACTCAGACCTGAACCTTCAGAGACACATAAAAACAGTTATAAAGTCAGCCTTCTGTCACCTGAAGAACATTAGTTAAAGGACCAATGTCCCAACCTTAAAACTCACTAAGACAGCTGCAACTTATCCTGAATGCTCACTAAATCTAAGAAAGTAGTGAAAGAACTTACACTGGATCAGAGAATAGACTGTAAAATACATTTGCTTGTTTAAAATCACTGAACGGCTTAGCACCAAAATACATCAAAGATCTGCTGTTGACGTATCGACTTTTCAGATCACTCAGAATTAGAACCAAACATGGAGAAACAACGTACAGTTTTTATACTTCTCTAATCTGGAATAAACTTCCAGAAAGCTGCAAAACTGCTGAAACACTGAGTTCCTTTAGATCACATGTGTCAAACTCAAGGCCAAATCCGGCCCGCCATAGCTTTTTATCTGGCCCTCTAGATTCTCAACTAAACACAAGTGTGCTTAAATATTATGTTACCAATTAAATCAATGCAGTTTTTATCTGCTTACTGCCAAACTATATCAAACAGTCCCTCCAGTTTCTTACGAATTATTATGGAAATTCACTCAAAATCAAAAAATCCCTGCACTTTTCTGCACTAGTACATAATTGGGAGTTTACTGCAGATTTTTTGCATAAATTGTCAAAACTTTCTTCTTCAAAACAGCTGCCTCATTTTTAGTTGATGTCTTTTTTAGTTGATATATATATATATATATATATATATATATATATATATATATATATATATATATATAAAACAGCAAATATTTCCAAATTAGTGTCACAAACACTTTGATTTTTAGTGCAATACATCACAAAAGCAATTGTGAAATCCTGGAGGGACTGAACAGATGTCCAACATTATTTAATTTTAAGAATGTATTAATATTTCTAACAGCTTGTGAAGGGTTTTATCAATACATTCTGGCACAACTGGCCCTTTAAGATCCTCAGCTTGCCTGCTATGCTCCTGCCCTTTTCTTTCTGTGTTGTGTGTCATTATTTTATTTGTTCTTTTGTCATTATTAACTGCATATCTTTCCAAATCTGTGCAAAAATTTGCGCTAAATTTACTTACAATATATTAAGACAGAGGATCAGAATCTGAGACACACTTATTCATGTTTTTCTATGGTGTGACATTATTTCTTTTCAACAACCAGCCCCCGACCCCGCCGCGCGTAAAGCTCTTCCGCAGAACCATACAGGGAGGACCATTAGCCACCAGACGGCCCTTATGGAGGGTGACAGACCCAGAGGTTATCAAAGCCATGGTTCATGGCATCAGAACCAGCTCAACTGACTCTGTGAGTAAAGTACAAAACCTTACACTGCAAAAACACAAATTCTTACCAAGTATTTTTTTTCTTGTCTAGTTTCTTCTGCAAATATCTTAGCCCACTTGAATAGTGTACTTTTGCAAAAGAAATATGAGTTTATTTTAAGTCAATAATTCCTTAACATTGGTGAAAAATTACTAGTTCCATTATTTCATTTACAACAAGGGAAAAATGTCTTGTTATAAGTGAAATAATTTGCTAATGGAACTAGTACTTTTTCATTAATGTTAAGGAATTATTGCCTTAAAACAAGCTCCTGTTTCTTGCTGAAAAGTTACTTGTAAGTTAGTTTTATCTTATTTCAAGTGTTGTAAGATATTTTTACTGTAAAATAGACCAAAATTACTTGGTAAGATTTTGTGTTTTTGCAGTGCAGTGATGTCCTGGGTTAATTTGCACCATGTGTACGTCATAATTTACACATTTATTAGGTACAATACCTCACAGGGCTCCTTCACAGTCTAGAAAAGCATGGAAACGAAATTTTAGGTGAAGAACAATGAGCAGGAATCTTTTTTTTTTTTTTGAATTTCTAAATTTCTCTTGATTAGGCCTCTTACAGATTCTATTACTCTGTGAAGTCTGAATAATCATAAATATTTAATACCTTTGCTTTTCAGAAGAAATATGCTGCCAGTTTGAGATCACACTGAATGTCTTTCATTTACTGATAGTAAGGTTTGTTATCATGTGTTACATGATAGTAGCACATATAAATTTAGGATCTTTGGTAAGATGTCCTAACTGGCACTGGAAAAATAATGAATACAATGAAACCTGGTCTTTCTGAGCTGCTTTGTGATCAGGATGTTTGTGTGATTTTTCCAACAGGGCGATGACTTGATATATCCTCCCGAAAAGTCAATCTTCCAGCACAAGATAAATGAACTCAATGAGTCTGTTTATGCTTCGAGTAAAGTTCTGCTGGGCCGGACACCTGCCCCATTTTCTGAGCTTCCCGACTGGATCAACGAAGGGACTACATTTGGAGATAAAGTAGTTAGAGGTATCTCATGTTCCCTAATGTTACTTTTTGGTCCAAATACCACAGAGCGGGTAGTAACACTTGACAAAGCACATTATGGTTCAGTTTCACTGCTTAGTCCTTTTGAGTTCACACCTAACATCAATTAACTGAATCTGATTAAGGGGGCAGGATCATGTAAAATCAATTTGTTTGCACTTTACATAATTTTATAATGTTTTTCCCTCATCAAAACACACCTAAAGTGTTGCGTTGAGTCTTGCATGGATGTTTGAGAAATCCTTTAATCTCCATGGCAACCGTTGTTGCTGTACAAAACACCAGGATGGACCTAGCTCCGCCTCCAAGATGCAGCTCCTCCTCACACCTGCAGTTTCCAAGCTTCTGCCTCACAGAATCCCCAAGAACCCCCCTCTCAGTTCCTTCAGACTAGCCAGCAGCAATTAGCAAACAAATATGAATTACTTTTCAGTGAAATGCTGGTAAAAATTAAAATGTTGTTAAAGGGTTAATAGCAGAGCACTGTCATGATGACTTCCTGAAGTCAGAGTTTCAGAAAGAGCAGAAGTTTTTAAAGAGACAGAGGCCCAAAATCAAGGTGTTAAATTACGAAGCCAAATTTCTTAAAAGTCATACTTGATATTGCATTTTTGTAACAATTGCAGTTAACATAGTTACTTGTTTGTGCTATAAAATGGCAGTATATGTCTGGAAAACACCCCATTAACTTAAAATAAAGCTAAGTTTCTCCAATTGGATGGTCCTGACTTTTAAACATTTACATTCATTAGTTAAAGCCACAGTTTGGATCAACTTTAGGTCCTGCCAGTGGAGATTCACCAGGAATCTGACTCAAAGCAATTTAAGGATCTTAATGGAAAATAAAGGATTTTGGCGAACCTCACCTGAGAAAGTCTTCATTCTCCTGGAGCCAGGAAGTCGACCACAAAGTTGTGGTTGGCTGCTTTTGGTTGCTGGAATTGTTTTTAGTTAGTGAGTATTCAACTTTGAATGTCACAAACACAAACCTATCACCTCCTGGTTTGTTTTCGGTGTGTTTCAAACCTGTAGGTTCACATACAGGCTTGGATTACTTACCGCAAAATTTTATGTGATTTTTGCATAAACAAAAACATTTCTAAAAAACGGATGTTGTGTTTCGAAGAAGTGTCTAAAAAAGGATAATTACAAATATTGTTTAAATGATTGTTTTCATGTGAGCGGAATTGAGTTAATTTTCAGTCTATTTCTAATTTGTATGCGTAAAAGAAGAATCCTTTCATTCTCCTGAATCTGTCTCTGTAAATGTAGAAAATTAAAAATGCCTGAGGTATTCTAAGTATCTAGTCTCTTCAAAATGTTGTGTTAGCTGTCTTCATAGCAAGAATTGTAGCTATTGTTAAAGTTTTGAATTTTGTCCCGCATCTCTTTCATCCAGAATATGAGATGGGTGAAGTCTTGTTCCCTCCAAAAACAGCAGAGGAGTTGGCGTTAGAAGGTCAGGAGGGACAGAAAGCTCCAATCTTTAGTCACTATTCTGATGAATCGTGCATATTCTGAAGTGAAACTTTTCAACAATGTCTATTTGGCTTCCTCTCAGCCATGAACATTGGAAAGTTTGATTTTAGTGACGTCCATAAAGACAAGACATTTGGGAATCCCACACCACACTGCAACAATGGTCGTTATGCTGCCAAAACTATTCACTGGATAGGAGAACCATACAAGTAGGTTCTGTACCAAACTTAAGCCACAAGTGTGACCTACACAGAATTTCAGTAACTTTTTAGCTACAGATGTTTTTCTCCATTAATATTTTGTTGCAGGTTTCACAATCCAAATCCTGTTTGGAAAAGATCTGGAAACAAGGAAAAGTTGGCATTGGAAACTGGCAACACCAGTTGCCTGTAGGTTTTTGCTATTCTTTGGTTAATTTCCCTCATGTCCAACTAAAGTTCCTCATATTTGACTTTATCCATCTACCAGTCGTGGGAGGAAGAAAACTCCTCTGCCCGTTCCACCTGGCCACACATTTGGATATGCCCCTCCAGTGGATCCATGGGGTAAAAAAAAAACCTTTCCAAGTGCTAAAGCACAAACTGTGAAACTTCTGAGTGGGAAGTAGAGATTGGCTCTGTTCTTACCTCCATAGGAGCTGGAGATCTTCTCCACAACGCAGAGCCGGGGACGTTTCTTCGAGGTCCAGACTGGCAGCGAAGTGCGATTGGTGTAGCAAGACAATTCCTCAAGAAGGTCAACTTTAACAACTTCTCCAGTCTGTTGAAGGCTTTCCAATATTATGACAAGGTACGGATGAGACTAGGCAAGTCTTTGAGTTTTCTGTCTTATTTCATCTCACACATACTGTAGAGCACATGTGTCAAACTCAAGGCCCGCGGGCCACATGTAGCCCGCCATGTCATTTTATGTGGCCCGCCCCAGCATTTTATAGGCCGATGATTGACTTAAAATAGGTTTTGAGCACGAATTGACTACAAACTACATCTCCCACAATGCATTCCGACTGTTACCAGCCAACATTACGGCTTCTTGCCACTAGAGAGCAGCAGAGTCACCTCAAGCTGCTTATTGATTTTTTTCCAGCGAATAAAACTGAGACATCGACAAGCTAACATCAAAACGTCCAAGAAAAGAAAAATGATTTACAAGTAAGATTGTGAATGAAGATGTGTGTGAGTTGGTGTCAGGGCGGCAGGTCACGCTAAACTTTTTTTTGTTATCCGTTATCTTGACCGACAACATAAAAAAAAAAAAAAATCGGTCATGTACTATTTTTATCCGTGAAATTACAATCATATTAACATCGGCTATTTAGTGCATTGTATGCGGTTTAGTTAATATTCACCGTGAATCCAGATCCCATCACAAATTAAGCAGATAAATGTATCTACATTTTCTCGTAGTGACAAAAACCACTGACTGAGGCCCCAATAACTTTTAATAAATTAAATTAAGCGACTTCACTTAAATTAGCATCGCTTCACCCGCTTGGGTCTGAACGCACTTCCTCCTGGTTCCCATCTGCAGAAAAATCTGCGCTAATTCATCAGTCAGTTGGATCTGTCTGATCCAAACAGATCAACTGAACTCTGTGGGAGTTTCATCCTGCGCTGTCCGGTGTGTGCTTTTACCAGGATTTTTTTTTTTTTTTTTCTGG